CGTCTATCTTCATTTGAAATCTTGGAATCATGTTTTGAAATGCAATAGTTGTAATCATTAAACATCTATTAGAACATTTTCAACGATATCATCAAAGGTATAGATAGAATCTGTATCAGATCTTGAAAATAAATTAAAACTTCGGCTTTGGATTTTTCTCTCGCCAAGCTGCAATCTTGGCATTCGACGCAATGCGTTGGTATAAGCTATGCAGACCTTGCACCTGATGAAAGATGTATTCTTTATAGCCCAGAAAGCTTTTTAGCAGCAAAGTAAAAGTATAAATCACCTAGAGTCAGCTATAATTCAAATAGTTATCATAGAACAATTAACGTATTCTCTATAGCCAAGAAAACTTTTAGCAGCAAATATAAGATGTTCAGCAGCAAAGTAAAAGTATAAATCACCTAGAGTCAGCTATAATTCAAATGGTTATGATAGAATAATTAAGAAATAATTGATCTACCTGCCTAGATATATGAACTATTTATCTAGCTAGCTTACCGTAAATTAGCAGCTGATAAACTACTCCTTCAATTTCTTATTATCTACTGTCGTCAGGAATATCGACGTCACATAGCATCATGAATTTTAAACAATCAGACTCGATTTAGGTATAAAGTGTAGATAGATCATTAACCTGCAAAGCGATCTACGTACATATTATCCTGCTGTCTCGTTATCATTATAATACAATGAAAATATGTTTAATCCATTAACTTTTATCCATTTGTAAGTGATCTAGACTGCAATTATAGCGACTAAGATCGAAATAGATAATTTCTGCTTATTAAATACGTCAATTCCTATTTTTATCTGATTGAGATGTGATCTTTATCCAGATACCATATTGTTTCATACTAATATAGACTTTTGCTAATTTCTGAAAATTTAAAGCAAAATTTAGTAAATTCGACCCATAATAGCAGAATATAAGTGAAAAAGAATGCGATAAGTTCTACACTTAACAATAATTGTTAATAGTGCCCTAGTTTATTAAGGAATTAAAGTTCAAGTAATATAAATTAAGACATTGCCGATATGTCTACTACATAAATTACATTAATCTTATATTAAAGTACTATCAATTCTTACCATTTTTGTACATATCTAATAATTATTGTCTATTAAATTATTACAAGCGTTGCCAGAACATTCGAAATTTCTCTTTACAATGGCGAAACTGTGCGAGTTAATAATCCAGATTCACGTAAGCGATACTTGCTAGTAATTTACAACTATATTTGCTGATGTAACGTTTATTCATTATCGTCTTTATGTCTAATCATTAAAACTATCTTCAACACCGCAGTGCAAATAATCAAATACGTATGCCTCTTTTTACATAACGATAGCTGCACAACGCTATTTTAACCTGATTATCAAAGATATTGGCGCAGAATGGAAAGACTTAGCTAGAGTCCTAGATTTTGATCAGACCCGAATTAAAACTATTAAAGCCAATAATTCTCTCGATGTCAATGACCAATGTGCGGAGATGTTACATGTACAACATAATACGAAAGGGAAAAGTTTCAACAAGTTAGAGCTAATTAAAGCTCTCTATAAAGCTAATTTAGCTGCAGTTGCAGAAAAGATAAACATAGATCATGAGATAACCCAAGATCCTGGTAAATATCGTCATTGTTTAATATTTTTACTTGACGTAGAAAATTGTTAATTAACTACTATACTAATATGAATATTAGAGTTATTGCATCATGAATTAAGATTAGTATCGACACAGCAGTAGAGTTGATCACTAGGATAACTAATAGTTACAGTATAATGAAATTAATTAATGAAAGATAAATATGTATAATTACTGCTTAAATTTAAAAAACCCTATAAATAGAGGAAGCCAGAAAGCATTAAACACTAATAATGATCAAGGTCAAGTACATAAAATTGTTCGTTTAAAATAACTAGAATATATTCAATCAAAAAGTAGAACATAGATCATATTGTATAACTGCTAATAGCGTGCTAATTATGTTATAAATCTGCAATAAGCAGATTACACTATCAGGCGTCTGATAGTAATTAGAAATACTCGGAGGATGCGCCAGCTTTATAAAAATATGCTGGTTATAAGAATCGCTTTAGATGGGTATGAATTCATACGGGTACATCATAACATGCTAAAGCAGTAATAATTAGTATACAAATCGATTCGAATGCAGAGATCACCTTAGTGAAAGTTAAACGTAAACGTAATCTACAAATCATCACAAAA